CCTCCCCCCTCACTGTTTCAGCAGGTAGATGATCAAACCGCCAGAACCTCAGCAAAAGAGTAAATGCATTAGAGAATACCTCCCAATGAGTGAGTTTTTCCCCGGTTGCAAGAGTCCAAGAGGCATCAGGAACACATGATCCAAAAACCTCACATATTATCATTAGTCCTGCCGCAAGTAATGGAACCTGTGGTAAATGGCAAAAGTACAATATATCAGCAAAGAAGGTACATGCAGCATTTACTAGTTCTCTACAACACACCGTGCTCCATTAGTTTTGAAAGTTGAAACTACACTTTTTGAAAACTAAGAACTTAATTGATGATAGAGCCTTCCTGGACTTCAAAACAAACACTTCATAAAAATGTCACTTAAAAAGAAAAAAGGGTAGTTGGCAATTACACGTCAGTCAAACTACAAGTATTAAAAACGGAACGTACCAAGCCATATAACGAAAATATATGAACACGGTCAATAGACGAAATTCCAATAAGAAGAACGTTTAAAAATGGAGCTTGGCTGATCAAATGGCTTTCGACCCCAGAGAAAGTAGGAGGAACTAGTGGCGAGAGCAATTTTGTGATAAAAAGAACAGTATGCTCCTGCAAAGAAAGATGATACTGAAAACTTAGGAAAAGAAAAATAACAGACAAAATTAAAGTAGGGTCAGAACTCAGAAGCTAAAAATCCAAGAAAAAAGTTGAAGACTCGGGTAAAATTTGAAAGCTATAAATAGTACCTGTACACTCCACCCACGTACAAGAGATGCACCGCACAGAATGGTAGCAGCAGATATCTTTTCTTCATCTGAACCATTGGTTGCAATTTCATATATTTTCTCAATCTCTGCTGAGCTTCAATCAAATCCATGAGCTTAAATTCAGTTGCCTTATAAATTTTCTAAAAAGGGCATCTAATATATACTTGACCTCATGAAAAGAGGGGTGCATCTGTATGCTGGACTGCATGTATAGTCTATCATTGATCAGATAGCTGTCACTGTCACTTACACATGAAGATTCCATAAATGTGTATGTATATTTAGTATCTATAACATATAAATCTATATTTGTTCTAAAAAACAAGAATCTCCATGTATTTTCCAGATTCTTTATCCTGGAACTATGGGAGCAACAAAGGCTATATAGGTTAGGAACTAACCTCACCAAGCTGTATTAAAGAAAGGTATTCTATATCAACCCTTCATACTATATGTATAATATATACATTATTTCCATATTTATTGCCTATTATGTAATTTACTTACCACATTAATATTTTTATAGGTTATATTTTAAAGATTCTTTTACATATTACTATAACATGGCATATTTAATTTACATTAAAGTGTAAATCACCTTCCCATGCTTGCCAATGAGAGCGTGTTTATGAGTGACAAAGAGGAGGAAGGTTGATTTAAAGATGATTGCATTTCATGTTATTGGAAAAAATTCAAATCTCACCTATCCTAAATCATTAGAAAGGGTCACTCACCATTTATCTACGTACCAAGTTCAATAGTGTTGGACGTAAGAGGATATATTGAAAAAACTCAAATTCCTAATTAGAAATAAAACAATTAAATAGTATATAAGTAGGAGACAACCCTTTATCTTACAAGTTGGTTTAGTAGGGAGACAATTGCTCCCTACTTATATATACTATTATGGTCTTATTCCTAGACGATGAAAGATCTTCAACATATGCTATGTTAGTATTTCTGAAACTCCTAAAGTTAAGTCATGCCATACACAGACTGGTGCCCATATTCATGCAACATAGGTTAGTATTCTATACAAATTTTTAAAATTGAAAAAATGATGGGGAGCATTGGTGTATTGGTAAGGTTGCCGCTCAGTGACCAGGTGATCACAGATTCTGGCCACTGAAAAAAAGGCTCTCTGCTTGTGCGGACAACATTGCACACACCTAACCCTCTTCAAACCCTCCAGTGACAGAAGCTTCATGCACTGCACTGCCCTTTTGAATTACAAAAGAAAAATACCTAGTAGGCAACCACCAATGGCATCAAACATGAAACATACAACAATGGATTCTCAAAATGAATAAACTGCGTGGTATTGTTGGCTCAGACAAAATGAGGTAGGGTAAATTGTTCAGAAAAAACTAGCCTTTTATCTTTGACAATATCTACAGATAAATCATAAATAGGAGAGCAACAAAGAATGAAATGTGAGTGAGGAATCATCATTATATTTAATATTCAACTTAAGAAAAGAAACACTTTCTCAAAAATTAAATATAATTTCCCTGTAATTGCCTTAAAAACTTCCTTTGTATAGAATGAAAAATGATAAAAAGATAAGTCTATTGTTAAATCCCAAACTAGTAAAATAGACCTAGTGAGTTACAGATAAAACTGTTAAAATACACACTACATAAGTATGATCGGTGTTATACATCAGTGGCGTGAATGTTGGGAGCCAAAGCTTTTCATGCAATTGCTGATGGAATAAATCAACACAAAGTCAACGATTCAAATTTCAAAGGCATATATTAACTTTATAAAGTAGTAGCAGACAAACAATTCAAAGTGAAAAAGAAACAGGGATAAAAAAACAGAAACATGACAAAACAATTGAATGAGCTTATATCCCAGGTCAATGCTCTGCTGCTTTGCCATGTGGTAAAAACAGCATTTAAGAAAGGTAAAAATTCCATACTTGAAAAACCCCTACTAATTTTCCTGAATCAACCACCTTCCTCAAATCCTACCCTTCTGAAACCAAATTTAAGAGGGGATAGAAGGGGACACTGAGCATACGAATTATGAATGATACAAGTCACAAGCAATTAGCATACCTGGAAGCTGGAGTTGCAACTAAGACATTAACCAATGCAGGAGTTAGCTGTGATCCCTCCATCAACGAAGACCAGCCAGACACATGATTAGAAATGCTCCATGGAATATGATTGTTGCATGCATTCACATAGCCAGGCCAATAATAAGCTGATGTATCAAGTAGATTTCTTGCAATACATGCCTCAACAATTAGATGCCGTAAGTTTCCAGCTGCAAGGAAACACAAAAAAAATGAGTGCCATGTGTACATCAAAGACAAAAGGGACCCAGAACAAAAATATGAACAGACTTTTATGAGATATTCTTATATGAAAAGCAAATGACAGAGAGGCAAAAAGAGCATTGCATAATAACAACATTACCAAAAATATGATTAATTACCATAGTACCAAGGTAAAGCTGACATTGATAAAAATTGACAGCGATAATCGTTATGTCTGCGTGAGAGAGATACAAAATTGAATAGATAAGCAATATTGACTATTTGTTCACAGGGAGACCTATGTTTTCTGTTTGGGGAAGGCACGGAAGGGGGAGGTTCAAAAAATTTAAGACCTGCACTTAGTTCGTAAAATTTACTCAGATAATCAGCCCCATCAGATTTTCTCTTGTTCAACAGACCCCTAGGATTATTTTAACTTTGGTCCACTCCAGATGTTTAATCCGAGTTCTACCTCAGTTAGCACATAAAAATAATATATATATATATATATATATATATATATATACATATCAATTAGAAGTACAAATTCTACAGCCAAAAAGAAATAGTATTTACAAATTTTGATTACCACAAAAAAAGAAATTACTCACAAAATTTCATTGGCATGTCATTCGTGCTCATATATTCGAAGTATCCACTACCAACAGGGTTTCCCGATAAGAACATAATAGCTCTGGCAGCAGCTTGATTGGCTTCCACAATAACAGACTGAGGTGGAGTCAGTAAGGATTCATAATCACCCAATAGCTGTAAGCTGGTAATCAATTCACCTCGACACTTCCCTAGAGCTTGCTGATCTTTCCCTTGATTTGTAGGGCTGTGTTCAGCTTCTTCAATCAGTTGACCTTCCTCTTCTTCAATAATATGAGTTACCACTAGGGTTGTAATGCCCAGTAGCATACACATGCAGGTATCAAGGCGAGACATAGGACCTTTTCTTGAATCCCTCTCCTAAAATAACAGGGTCAATAATATAATTGCTGTTATGAGAAGATTATGTAGAGTCCAATTGAATGCAATTTTCCAGTGTCACTAGATTTTTTATAAAGAACTAGCCAATCAATTAAATATAAAAGTTTCATAAGCCAACACAGACACAGTAAAATGTAAACAACATGCAGTATGCTCTTTCCTTATTGGTGAATGGTGATAATACAGAAATACATTCATCAGGAAATGTTTCCTGGAGAATTCATCAGCCCCCCTACCCCTTGTGTTGGAAAAATTCCTACCCTTTGAACAAGACGCAGTGCTGCAACCCATAAACCCAAAAATGTATTGTGCCACGTAGTGCCATTAACTGCATGTAAAGTCTTCACCAAACCTGCAATAACAACTTCAAATAAATACTTTGATTTGAAAAAATAAAAATAAAAGAAAGCTTGTCATACAACTCCTACTGAAAATATGCCATTTGGATTTTTTTCCATCTCATAATCCTCATGTGGAAAAACTTGAGATCACTATTCACATTTCTTTCCCACCATTTTTAACATTTTTTAATAGAATAGAAGCAATTCTATTAGTTAGAAGGCAAGTATCGATTCTGTAATATCCACTTCCTCATTCAGTATTTTGACATTTCTCTAGTCTAGATTGTTTTCTGGCTGTTTCTTAAATTTTTTTGTCTGCCAGAGCAGAGAGGCTGTCAGCCTGTCATGGTGCAGTTTGGCATGGTTCAGGCAAAATCTATAATTAGACGAAGATTTTAACAAAAATGGCTTGTAAGGTGAAGATTTTCTTAGTTTTACAAGCCTTATTTAAGTCATATCTCTAGGCAATGTGTGGACTAAACACCCCCCCCCCTCAAGGCTGGATTTAAGCTGCCAAAAGAGGGTGTATTTAGGTGGGTTAGGAGTGATCGCAATTAAAGCAACTTTCCGACAAGATGAAGCTAGAAGGTGTCAATGTTATTGAGCAGGGTAATATCAGTTTGTAGTTTCTACTCTATTTGACTTGAATGAAAATGTTTAAGAGTTGGAAATTAGAAATTTTACATATCTTATTAATTTTTAAAAGAAGACCAAAATGAATCCTGGAAATACTCAAAATATTTGCGCATATGGAATGAGGAAAAGAACCAAAACAAGTATGAACCTGAAACAACTCCATACACAAGGGCAAGTGTTGTTCAAACTATTTCATACTTCACAGTCTACTGTCTCTGATCTCTCTCCATCACACTGAATGGATAATATCACTGGTGGAAAAAAAAATGATGATGCAGTAAGTTTGGCAATGTCAGAATACTGATGTTGAAAAATAATCCAAGTAAAATCTTTTGAGTGGGAAAGGTTTGAGCAATCAGTACTACAGGATGATTGGCAATTGTACCCATTCTGGGTGCACTAAAGTCTAAAAGCTGGAATTGTTGTTGAGAAATTATTTCTGATGTGGATCCATTTGGAGGGAAACAATATCAACAGAGGAAAAACAACCAAATTTTTTGCTGCTGAGGATTATTTTTTATTTTAAGGATTAGGATTACTTTATCTTCTTTTAAATTTTCAATTTTGCTTATGGTTTTTGTCTTGATAAGATTGCGTAACAGAATCCTTATCAGTTCTAGTTTTGATTTTTATTAGGATGATTGTTAGTAAGAGAAATGCTAAGAGTACTTTATTTACTATTGATTGAAATTTATTGAAAATAAAAAAAAAATTGTAAGTCTGCTCTTCATTTAATGAATCTCACTTATGAGTGTGTAATTTTCAACAATTTTTTACCAATGATAGAATGTTAGAGAGAGTGTTGCTAGCATTCCTCTTGTGACTAATTGTTAGTTATGATCCTATTAATTAGAATCCCTTCTGTATCTATAGCCTTATAAAACACAGACTTGGATTGAAGGAATCAAGGAAGAAACTGTTTCAAAAAAATCTATGATAGTCTAGGAGCAGTTCAATCAAGAACGAGTCTACTTCTCACTTTCACTATCAGTCGCAAGCAAGAATCTTTGTGTATGGGCTCACGATTTGGTCCTACATGAAAGTGTATAACAGTTTATTAAATTTATACATTAAAAAAGGAAGTTTACTCGTGGAAGTAAAAACAGATCATGCCTTAACATAGAGGAATTAGTCCCAGAATACAGTTTGAGGCCGTGAACAGGAAAGAAAGATAATGAAGTCAAAGAAAAGAAAAGAGAGGATCTGACTTCAGCATATGTTCTTCAAGTTCGTGACTAAGAATACAACAAGGCTGATCAATGAGACCGAGTATACATGTGGGGACTTGAGCCCTCCATCACTAAGGAAAATAATTGTGTGAAATGTATTTTGTATGTGAAAGCTGGGAGGTAAAACACAGGCCTTATCAGTGATGTGAGATTTGGGCATCTTAGGTTTTGGGTTCTTGTAAGGAATTGATTGATTACTATATGTATATTTAAATAAAATACTTTTGCAGCAATTTAGGCAACTTACAAAATGACATTGAAAATTGGATGTCATGCATGTTTATTTTCAGTGTTTTCTGATTTAATTTGATTTTCTTTTTTGTGGAGGAATTTTCCCCAGCATTCTGACTTTAAAAAAAAAAAAAAAAAAAAAAAAAAAAT